TCTTTTTCTCCTTGGTATTCTGTGTCCCAAAACACACTCACTTGCATCCATGGTGCAGCACCATCATTCCTCTTTCAGCGTACTGGCCTACCCCAGTGAAAAAGACTCACCCTTTCAGCATTGCTCATTGTAATAATATAATTATTACATTTATTTGGCATCTCTATGCAGCCTGGTGTCAGGAAGCAACATTTTGCTTCTTGATGATAAGTGAAATAAGTTAAGAGAACAATATTTTTATATTGAGCTCAAGACAAAAGATAAATTTAATTATTCCCTGAAAGCTAGGTCTAATTCTGCAAGCCCTTTGTCCTCCAAGTGACTACTTGCAGTTGTTCCATTGTCTTCATTCTCTCAGTAGACAGTACAGTGACCTAAGTTATTAAGGGTTTTAAGCAATTAAATACATATTTAAAATGCTACCCATTCAGATTAGCAAGTAGATTTTCTTACAAAATAAAACTTCTTAGTCAAAACAAAAAACCCCAAGAAGCTAGTGAACATATCATCATATTGTGCTATGGAATCTTATGGATGGGGAGTAGGAAAACCAGTAAAGAAAAGACAAGTAAAATTAAGCTTTAGTAACCCCATTAGCTTTTCTGTATATCAAAGTTTAGCAAGCCCCCTTCCGTCTGCAGACTCACAACTCTCCTTCTGAAGTGGAGTCAGTAGCCTGTTCTAATAAAAACATGAGCCTGGCTTATCCATGCCTGCTGTAACCTGCTGCTTTACAGAGTCAAGTCAAAGGCATCAGAATTATGTATCTTTGACCACCTACACAGCAGACACTAAACCAGAATTAATCATCAAATTCTCAACTGTAGGCAATCTCCATTGAAGTGAGAAGTGAGCACATTTAGAAAACATTTTATCTGGACTGTTTTAGGTGTTCAGCTTAGGATGAAATTAATTATTCCTTTATTATCCCTATATCTTCTCACTGACTATACAGTGAAAAGAGTCACTCATCATGCCTGCTCATGTGAAGTTCATTACAGCTTTCTTGGTTAACAAACGCTTTAAAACTTTTTCGTTCTGCCATTGCATTATAAAAATTATAATTTTTATATGAGCAACCAACTCATGGAATAATTTATCAACACTGATAAGGTATCAATAACGCATCATCAGCATTAGAAACATGTCTAAGTCTCAAAATTTCCTTTTCCTTTCTTCCCTATATTTTATAGTTCTCAATGAATATTTAATGAATAACTAATAACTGTGGCAAACATAACACTTTTCCTCTCAAAAAAAAAAAATTACTGAGGAATACTGAAGCATTATGCTTATTACTATCACTAAAATCCAGAGTCAAGATACTCATAGAATCATAGAGTGCTTTGGGTTAGAAGGGGACCTAGAAGATTTAGATGCAGTTCCACCTTCTCTGCCTTGGGCAGAGATGCCTTCCACTTGACCAGTCTGCTCAAAGACCCATCTAGCTTGACTGTAAACACCTTCAGAGCTGGGGCATCCACCACTTCCCTGGACAACCTGTTCCAGTACCTTTACCACACTTAAAGAATTTTTCCTAATATCTAATCTAAACCTACTGTCTTTCAATTTGAATTCGTTCTTCCTTGTCCTGTCACTACCTGCTCAGATAATTTCTTTCAGGTACTGGAAGGCTGCAATTAGGTCACCCCAAAGCCGCTTCTTTTCATGGCTGAACATATTTGACATAGTATTTTTGGAAGTGAAAATAAAGTACCAAGTATTTATTGCCAGCCTCTTGAATGAACTCCAGGAAAGCTGTTGGAAAGGACACAATTTCTGTCCTATTGCCCAGAGTATAAACTATCATGATAACCTTTATTCAGAAAGAGAAACAAATTGATTTCACTTCATACAAAAGGATGTATGACCTGGAGTGATGGTTTGGCTTGCTACAGTTAAGAAGAATATTCAGTCTAATGAACACACTGCCATGCTATTTATACACAGAGAGGTAGTTCTTCAGGTACTGCACTGATGTAAAAACCACTGCCTACAAGACTGGTGGTTGATTTACTTATATAATGGATGAAGGTCTTTGAAGGTGTGGTGCTTCATACCACTACAATGTCAAAATGTCATTCAGACTTGGATCAAAGAGATTCAAATACTTTTTGGGTAGTTGCTTTGGGCTAAATTTTACTCTTGGAAACTGTGTGTGTTTAGTTACGGTTGACTTCTGTGTCTAAGGCAAAATAGCCAATTTGTGACTATGGAGTTGCATATGGCACTTAAGCAGATGAAATATGGCTTGTATGCTGGAACCACATCCTGTGACTGCAGCATTCTGTACTGGCGCGCAGTCTGCTGCTCACACCACAGCCTGGCTGGAGGAGGAAGCTGCAGAAGTCTCTGTTAGCTCCCAAGGCTCCCTAGGACCACCTGTACTCTCAGTCCACATCCATGCTACCTGCAGTAGTGAGGAACTACTGTCAGTCAGCAGTGATCCTCCCTCAGACCTCCTTTTTCCCCCAGAATACCAAAAACAGAAGCTGCTGCTTTTAAGAACTAGAATCTGGAGTGATGTTTTAATCCGATTATAACCAGAATAGCTGGTTTTAATATTTTTAAAAAAACAATTTCATAAAGAGATGCCATAACAAAATAAAAATAATAAAAGTCAAAAATAGTAAAAATAAAAACAAAATAAAAAGTAAAAATTTCCAATATTTATTTAAAAGCTGGAACAATTTAGTAAGAATATTGTTACTTTTCTAGATTTTTTGCCTCAGGAAAAAATTAAACTATTTTTTCTTCTGTTCAAATTCTAGACATCTGTGAAAGATACACAATTATAAATGAGCCAGTAAGTAGCTATAACCTGATTGCATAAAATTTTATAATCCCAGTTTCCTACATTATAGCTTTAATACATGGTGATAATTAGTGTTTCTGTTGATCATCAGATCAATGAACAACAGATGCATTTTTTGCTTATAAAATTTTAGTGCTGAAGATAATGAGGAAAATATCTTTAAAAACTGCATTTCTGTTAAAAATAGAGATAAGCTCACCTTAGTATGTTAAAATCAATAGGTTTTCTAATGTTAGAAATATTTATGTATGTTTAATTCTTAAATGCAATAGTTTATTAACTGCCCATCAAAGTTTTTTCTGAGAGATTCAAAGGAAAAGAAGTTAGATTTTCATTTCTTTGTACTTAATGCACTTTCCTACCCACCCAGATTCAGCAAAATGAAAAACTACTTTACTCATCCCTTTTGTCTTTGTATACCACTATGTACTTGCTGTGCAGTGTTGTTGAGAAGATGGTCTGTAAATTCTAGTTCCAGGGTTTTAATTGCTGAGAGTCTGCAGATTCTCACAGTCCAATAAAGAACCCTTGCACTTGCCTAAATTTTACTGGTATGGCTCACAATATAACAGAAATATGTCTGTTCCATCTTCATTCCCCTTGTTTATGTGATATTCCAAAGTATTTAAAAAATATGCTGGCTTTTTTTCACTTCAATTTGTCTTGAACAGTGTCAAGTGGAGATAAAAATGAGGATAAAAAATAAAAGATCATGCAGAACAAGAAGCTTCATTTATCAAGTCAGAAAATCCAGTCCTCCTAGAGCTGCTATTATGCCATTTCTAAGCTAGTTCTCATACTTAAGTACCAAAAGGTCATTTTCTTGAGTACTATCTGAGGTCTCATCTTTTAATCTTGACTGTAAATTTTTATGGGTATTTAACCTGTGCCAAGAATGTGACATTTAAATCAGCAGAGGTTTCTTATTTAGATCTCCTTCTTGTAGAGCTTTTACAAGAAGTACCTTAAAGCATTAGTGTCACACATTCCTCATGTGAGAGAGAGACTGGCAAATTTATGAGGACATATACACTCTCAGTCAGCAATTGATTGCGATTAAAATGGTTAAAGTATGTTCACACAGATGTGGAATTCAGACTAAGCAGACTGTACAGCTGAACTGCTCTACCAGATAGTTCATTTTAAAGCTGTTATTATACGTTCTTTCTGTGATTTCATAGAGTTTGATGTACAGCAGCATTACAGAAGCAGATTTATTGTGTTTTGGTGGTTTTTTAAATCTTACACATATAGCAACTCCATGCATAGCTCTGTTTTAATATAGCTAGGAAGAAAAAAACTGGAAAAAAAAGGTATTTTTTAATAATTTTCTTATTGTCAAATATCTTTAAGAATTTTATACACACAACACTGAGAAAAATGCTTTAAGGCTGATTGCTTTTAACAATTCTACAGGCAGACAAATGCAGACCCAGGAAACTCCATCATTTTTGTCAAGAGGAGAGAAGACATGGCAGCTCATATTTCACTGCAGTCTAGCAAGTGCAGAGTACACCTCTTCTCTGGCAGGCCTGAGAAGTCTATGACAAAGCCAAGAAAGCCTCTGGCTTTTTTTCACTCCTACAGCTGCTAGTTTAAGCTACACTAACACCCTCTCCTGCATGGGTATATCCATGTGTGTAACAACCACCCTCCAAACCTGCTATAAGCAGCTGCATAGAAGGATGCACAGGGGAGGATTTTGGAGAGGTCAGTGTGGCAAAGCAGAACTTCTACTGTATGATGAGTTTATGTCTTTCCTTTCTACACAGATTCCCAGATTTTAAACTAGCAGGTGCCATGTGATAATCTGGCCAGATTTTTTACTGAGACGTTCCAGCTCATCAATAGGAATTTTAGGGCTGGAGTAATGATCTAAGCTGGAACTGGAATCCTCCTAAACCATCTGTGTCAGAGACTGCTGGACCAGAACATAACACTTAGAGATCTGATGGATGCATGGGCATGTCATCCCACAATATGGCACCCTGAAGGACCATATGGAGTACCCAGTGATTAGGATAAAGAAGACATTCTGGCTTAAATCCCTCTTTTTGTTTTTGTTT